TGATGATTAATAATAGTTTAACCGTGCAATTCAATTGAAGGTTACAGTACAAAGATTATACACGAAACCCGCAATGTATCAATCTAAGAATTAAAATATGGAACGTTCTTCTCCATCTATCTAGTCCAAGATACGACGGTGTAACGTAAATAAGAATAAGAATACCAGAGGAGACACATCGTTCCTGAAGAATATAAGAAAACGAAGGTCTGAACGCGAGGATAATGATACATGTGACGCGCGGACACGCAAAGATTACACGGAGATTAGAGTCGTCCCACAGGTTGGGGAGCGGCGGGAATGTAAAGTTGTCGCTTTGTTACCTCGGTAAACAGTAGGAAAGCGGTGGGAAATTAGTCGTTCGGCTAGAGCCAGTGCCAGGAGAGGCACCGCGATAATTAGGTTTCACTTGGTTCGCTTTAATAATCCAGACAACATGCAAAGTGCATTGCTGGGATCCTTGCATCCGTGAAAGCATAGCTACCGGTATATGAAAGTGCCTGGTGTGCGTGACCAACGTTAACGTTGCCGCGCGGCCTCTAGCCACGCTGGGTGACAAATTTTGCAAGGACAGCCGGAATTATTAATCCCTTTTCCACGGAGTGGCCGAGACGAGGCGCGAAATTAGTAAGCACCCGAAAGCGGTGCATCGTGCGCTACAAGCGGATTCCAATCGAGATAATGAAAATTAACGACGTTAAAGCGACGTCACGCTCGTAATTAATTATCGCGGCCCGTTTGCTGGTTGTCGATCGGCCTCTCTCGGCCGCGCGCCGGACCCTTCCCGCAAGGGAAGGGCCATAATCGCGATATCAATCCTTCATTAATTCGCTCGGCGAAGAACGACTCGCGTCGAAACTCTTCCACACAAAGCCACGATTAATTCCTTAAGACGTTCTCTATATCTATATATGCATGAACCACCGCGGCTCTATGAATTATACATCACGTTGCCGGCACCCTCGCCGCGAACTTTCTTGCGGCGGATGATCGTTCTTGCACTCACCAACAAAGATAAGACAAATAAACTCGCCTCCTCTTAATAAACGCGTTCCAAAACTCTCGTCTACCAATGTTTTCATTAAAAAAAAAAAGAAAAAAAAACACATTTATATATCATGCGTTAAATTTTGTCAATACACATAGTTATTACAAATATCTACACACTCTATCGTGCATTAAGTACATGGAGCTGGAAGTTGGGTTAAAAAGTTTCACATTTAAAGTATATATGTTATATATCTAAAAATCTAATTTGAAAATACAATTGTGCACGATGGTGTAAATAATTGTATTCTGTTTAGTTGTCATCTTTGTCAGTTGTCAAAACTCATATATCAAACTGCGTTTGGTTAGAGTTGTAGATTGTACGAGTATGTATAACAACCTCCTTATCTCGTTTACTCTTCGCTGAATTTTCATATCTCTCTCTTCTTCTACGAACCATCTTCCATGCTTGAATTCTACTCCTCGATAACACGAAATTGCATCCTCTGCAACCCACGCGTCACGTCAGAAGCCAGTTTGTATTCAGATGCAACGCACGATTCTAATGTGTGAATATTTGCATGCCAAACCTCCGGATATATTTCGTCCGGGAATTCTATTTTTAAACATTTATTTTGAATCTGTACATTAAAATCTCTATTCATCTTCATTTTAAACATTTCCAGGTTCGTGATCAGAGTTTAACTTTATATATGTATAAATACGTTAGGTTATTATATTTTCTCTATCCTTTGCGGAGCTGTATGAATAAAATAAATACTTCAGTTTATTTTTACGTCTAGATTTGACATCCGTAAAGATAAACGACTGTACAGAATAAAGCTTTAATCTAGTTAACGAGCGTAACGAATGCCTTGGTTGAAATTCCGAGTTATGTATCATACATCTGGTATTCAAAAGTGCCGACTGTGAGAGAAACACGTGCGCAACACGTGTACGAAATAGCCATCATAAAAGAGAAAGATCAACTTGAAAAAGACGACTCAATCTGAAAAGCTTTGAGGTTGGTAAGTCTCGTTTAATTTTTCCAGAAGGAAATAAGCATCATTTGATTCGTTTTCTTGCGATAAAAAATATTACCTCAATTAGATTAGAAACATTGTTAAAATAAATGTTATCCTAATTAAAATTTTTATCTGTGTTCCATAATGTATTTTATTCCGTTGAATGAAGATAATGAACAGAATGGACCTAATGGAATGAAAAGAAATTACACAAGTATCAGTTAAATATATCACAATTAACACACAAGCAAGGAAGAAATGTACTTGAGTAAAATTTATTTAAATTGAGTAAGATTTAAAAATCGTTTGAATTTATAAAATATAGGTACTGTCATATATACATCCATTATCAAATATTGTGGATTTTTAGGATCAGGTTCAGCATTTAGAACTGTCGTTTCTTTGTACAACCATGACGCTTCTATACTTCCACTTTTTACCCTAATGCGTCTCTTTAATAAGCTCGTGGTATTTGTAATTTCTTCTTCTATTCTCGATCGTAATAAATTAATGCCGGTTAATTTAACAGAAGAAATGGCAAACGTGTCCTTTGGTATGACATTTTTTATCACATGTTCTTCTACTATATCACATTTATTAGCGACGTTAATTATTAATTTATTTTCATGTATCATAGGCTCTATTGTTTTCTGAACGTGTTGAATTTGAGCTTTAACATCAGGATGACTCACATCAAACACATGAACTAAAATATCCTGCGAAAAATTAAATAGAATTATTTTAGGCTTCTAAATTTCAATATAACAAACAAAAATAACATTTCACGTACTGCACTCATAGCATCCTCTAAAGTTACTATAAATGGCTCTATTAAAGTTTCTGGAATATCTTGAATAAAGCCAATGGTATCAACATATAATACTTTCAACATATTTGGAAGTAATCCTAGATGTACTGTTGTATCTAAAGTAGCAAATAGTTTGTCCACAGGTTGCAATGAATCATCATCTGTTAATGCTTTTATCAAAGATGTTTTGCCAGCATTTGTGTAGCCAACAATAGCAATGGTTGGAAACCCATAACTGAGTCTTTGTTGTTTTATTCTTTGTCTGTGCTCTTTCAATTTTTGCAATGCATTTTTTAATTTTTTCTCTCTAGCTTGAAGCATGTTTTTCATTTTTTCGGTATAGTTTATTCGTCCAATACGATAATTAGTAAAATCAATCATTTTCTGTTTTACATATGGAAGTTCAGCTAAAGCTACTTGCAACTTTGCTTCTGGAGTTTTTGCACGTTCTCGAAAAATATGAATGACTATAGAATAACGATCATAAATTGGCAAATTAAAAGTCTTTTGCAACTCAGCAATTTGTACAAATTTCAATGAATTTGTACTAATAAATAAGGCCGTAACATGTGAACATTTTTCAACATCATGTTTCAATGTCTCAAGAGCTCCTGAACCAACTAACTTAATTCTCTGCAAAGTAAGTAAAGGAACAAGCTTTTCACCAACAATATTCCAACTTGTTAGATTACTGACGAGTGCTTTTGCCTCTGATAATTGCAATTGAGGCGTAGTATTTCTTTTTTTATTAACACCCCATTTAATATATGGTTGTATCACGAATATTCTATTTCCACCAACGACTGTTCCTAAATAGTTTTGAGACACCTGTGCATAGGTATTCTTTTCTTCCTCATTCTCCGTATATTCAAATGCTATATCAGATTCATATTTACACTGATGTATGACATTTAATATATTAAATTCTCTCCTTCTATTTATTATATATTGTGATTTATTTAAAACCGCAAGTTTTTTCAAACACTGCATTATTTAATAATTATAAAATATCATCTATATATGTATATAATTTCATAACCTCAAATTTGGCACATATATCGAATTTAGCTTTAAAGAATAGTGATATTACATTTAAATAAGCATTTCTATTCCTAAACATTTAACAAACATAAAAAGCAAAATCTAAAAGTAAACAATATGGATTTTCATACTTTAAAATAAAATACTTAACCTTACTTAATATACAATTTTTGTGTCCAAAATGTTCGAAAATTGAATACAACATCAAAATATATGTCATTTTAGAGCAACAAATATATTCATCGTTAAAATAAATACAAATTTTGGTATAATCCATATAATTTGTTATTCTAAATAAAAAAAATCATTGTACACACTTCTCAACTAACATTCAAACTGTATATCCTTTAATTTATAATATTACAAAATTATTTCAACAGCTCTCCAACGTATATCTGAAATATTTGTCACTCTTATAATATCTTGAAATATTTAATACTGTGTTTTATTATGAAGTATTCATTTGCACAAATTGAATTCGAGAGCCGACATAAACGAACAGATGTTCTTGCCACGTGACTAAAGGTCTTATCATGAAACTGACAAGGTGACAATCTTTCTAGAATTATTGCGAACTGTGACTCTGAAAAGTTCGAAAGTAAACTTAAATTAAACTTAATACAAAAATGGAACCAGGAATACTGACGAGAGTTTTATCCGACTTTTTAACAACTGTCGACGGAGAGTTAAGTTTACAAAAAGGGGAACATTTTTTGGTAGTTTCACAGATGTATACATAACATACAAACAATTACATATAACCCTATTGTATATAATTACATTGTTCTTTCTGTAAAACTGAAATAGGTATATAGTATCATAGACAAGCACTGGTGTTACGGAGAATCCCGAGGCAGAACTGGAAAATTTCCATCAAATCACTTGCATAAAATAGATATTCCGTCATTTGATAATTCAGAATGTTTGTTTGTATCAACCACTGCTTTTGCAGGGCAACAAGATGGGGACCTATCCTTCTCCAAAGGTGGTTTCTGTATTTACATGTATGATATTTACTTTAAAGTAAAGAAGTTATTTATATTTGTATATTTTATACATTTCATAGGAGAAATTATTATTGGAGTAGAAGATGTTGGCTCTGGATGGTACTTAGGTCAAATAGATGTAAAAAAGGGTATTTTTCCTTTAACGCATGTATGGCAACTCGACACTAAATTATTAAAGGTACGTTATTAATGTGCTCCTTAATTTAACAATTAATAACAATTTAACAATTAAGTTAAATTTATTATGCAAGTAGAAAACTATGGAATTTTCACACTATTTTTAGAAAGCTTTAAAAAGAAAGACTACAAGAAAAAAAGCTAGAATAAAGGCTAATTTGAAAGCACAACTTGATGGAGAACTTGACTTGGTGGAAGGTGAAATAGTGACTGTCACAGAAATTCTTGGTGATGGTTGGTGTTATGGAATAACAGAGAATAGTAAAGTGGGAATGTTTCCAGAAGGGTTTATATCTTATATAAATGACAGTACGGATCAATTAGACACAATTTCTGTATCAGAGAATAGTTCTTCCACAAATTACAATGAAAGAATATATAGAAACATTGAAGAAACACCTTCTACTAGTTCCACTGTTGAAGAACCTGCGCCAAATTATTACGATTTGTTTCCTGAATTCAAACCAGTTCCTTCAAACATGACAGAGGATAGCAAAAGTATCAGTAATCTAAATACATTAGATGTAAAACCTTATGCTATAACTTTATATCCCTTTAGTGCTCAGTTTCCAAATGAGCTTAATTTTGGAGCAGGAGAAGTAGTACACCTCATTAAACATGTAGATTCAGAATGGTTGGAAGGCACAATAGACAATCAAAAAGGCATTTTTCCTATGTCTTATGTTGACATTATAGTTGATTGCGATGGAACGAATAATGAACAAAATTCATACAATCAGGAAACAAACAATGTGCAATATGACGAATTAATGCCTGAAACTAAAGCAAAAGTGGAGTATACTTTTAGAGCTCAGATGGACGGAGATTTGACTATTTTTGAAAATGATATAGTTAAAGTAATTAATATGGCAAATTCAGATTGGGTTAATGTTGAAAATCATTCTGGCAAAGTTGGCTTGTGTCCAAGAGGTTATTTGAGCCCATTGGTTGCAGAATCATCTGATGCCAGTATGAATATTTTGGAAGATTTTGTAATAATACAACATAATGAAGAAATTTTTGAAAGAACCGAAGAACAAAAATCGAAGAGACTTTCAAAACCACACAGACCAGTACCGCCCGTACCTGCACCAGGTAGTACTCCACTGCAGAAGAATGCAACAGAGAGCAAACAAATTGCAAACAATATCAAACAAGTCAATGTTACTGATAATGATAATTTAGAAATCAAACAAAAAAGGGCAGATCAAAGACAGAATGTTATATCGGAATTAGTTCTCACTGAGAAAGAATATGTTCGCGATTTAAAATTAACATATGAAACGTTTAACTTGCATAAGCCAAGTCAACTTGAATCTTTAGGAATAGATGTGACCACCTTATTTGGAAATCTTTTTGACGTTATTCAAGTTGCAGAAGAATTGTTAGATATGATACTAAGAGCAATGAAAGGGTGTGACGAAGAATTGCAAACTGTTGGCCCTTGCTTTACAAGGATGGCTGAAAAACTAAAAAGCGTTTACGTAAAGTATTGTGGAAATCATGAAGCTGCATTAGTTTTGTTAAAGAAGGTTACTATATTTCATTCATATTATATCACATTTTTTTATACCTCATATATCTAATCTATTTTGTATATCATTGTGTGATTTCAGTATGAAAATAATGAAGAAATAATGAAGATATTCAACAAGGGGATCGAAACCTTACGATATCAAGTAGCTTGTTTCGATATGAGTTCTGTCCTTATAAAGCCAGTACAGCGAATATTAAAATATCCCCTTATTTTATACGAGTTAGTAAAGGTAAGTCATCGTAATATTAAAATATTACCAGTATATTATAAATTTCTTTCAAGTGAGATAATTATTTGATAGTGTACCGACGACAACCATCCAGATAAACATGCAGTTGAAAAAGCATGGAAGACTATGACTGCTGTTGCCAGTCATATTAACGAATATAAACGACGAAAAGATTTAGTATCGAAATATTTGGGTAATGACAATACACTGATAAGAAAAATGGCTAAACTTAACATGCATTCTGTAGCAAAAATGTCTACCAGATTGAGCACACGATTTTCTGCTAGCTTAGGATTGACAAATGTTGTTATTGATCCAGAGTTTGAAGAACTTGTAAAACAATTTAGATCTGTTGAAAAATGTACCTTACAATTAGCTAAAGATGTTGAACAGTGCCTTACATATTTAAGTGACGAAGCTATTTCTGGAGAAGTGATATCAGATTTCTTGATTCAATACTATCAAGGAACACCTAATGTTGAAGCAAAAAGACTTAGAGACATAAGATCCACAATTTGGTCGCAATATGTACAAGAATTGAAGTTGTGTTTAAAAAATAGGGTCAGTACACCAATAAATTGTTTAATGACCTTGTTAGAAGGACCTGCTGTGTTAATAACAAAAACACATGACAAATTACTTGATTATGACGCTGCTATTTCCAAGAGTGAAAAATATAAAGAATCAAGAATTGTAAGCTTCTATTTTATTTAATTATTTTTCTAAATAACGTGATTAGAATGTACAGAAATGTAACAACATTTGATTTCTTTATAGGTACAGGATGAATTATCAATAGCAAAGGGTAATTACGAAGCTTTAACGCATCAACTATTGGAAGAATTGCCAATTGTGATTGATGCAGGGACAAAAATATTAGTGGATTGCATTAGTGCTTTTGCACATGCTAGAAAACTTTTATGTGGGAAAATTACCAAAAGATATTTGACTTTTTGCGAGGTATAAAATAAAAATATATCAAATAAAAATAAAACAATCGAAATTTTTAGATATGTAAAAGTTAGAACTTTAATGATAATCATATTCATTTGTATCTATAGACTTCAACTCAACTATCACCTCGAGATATTTTGGAATCATTTTTAGTTAATCATAATTTATTATGGAATCAAATAATTCGTTTTGCATTTGCTGGATCAAACTCACGGATAGAAGAACCACAATCCATGTGGTGTCAACAAAGCGAAAAACAAAGAATTACATTAAGAAATAAATACTCCAGTGATAAATTATACATTGTCACAGAAAATATAGCAAGTACTTCATCTTTGGATATGGGTGCCGCATGTGGAACATTAGTTGCAGTGATTAAAAAACAAGATCCTATGGGCGATGCTTCCAGATGGTTTGTAGACAATGGTGTTGTTCAAGGATTTTTACCTGCAAAAAGTTTACAAATTCAACAAATATCACAAGTTGAATCACCCAATGAAGTTACTTCCTCAGATGGATGTAGTAATACTTCTATGCCTGATCTAATCTGTATGGACTCTCCTGAAAAAGAAGTCAAAACTACATCCCAATCGCATTTAGAAGAATTGTTAGATCTGAACACTAATAAAGAAATTAAAAAAGAGAATCATTATTACGGTAACGTTGAACAAACCCCTAAAGTTCAGCAATATCAGAATTTAAATTTTGAGGTAAATAATGTTAAATAAGTCGTAGAGTACAAATTTTCCTGATTAAACTAAATTACAATATTTTTCAGTTTTACTATGCAGACTATGATTTCTCTACAACGATACCTGGAACGTTGTCTATTGTTAAAGGGCAAGCATTGAGACTTGTTAGACCTCATGATGAAAAAGGAAATGATGAATGGTGGCTTATGGAGGATCGTTATGGTAACAAAGGATATGTACCTAAAAATTATTTACGTGAACCACCGATGGGAAAACAGTAAACTCGCAGAAGAAATATCAATTTATATGTTCGTATATTAAATTTATTATTGATACTAATGTTCCAATGCACATAGCTTTTATTGTTAAAGTTTTAATTAATTCGTTGAATGAGGATTATTTTAAATATTAGTTCTTGTTTGAGATATAATTTTTAATTTAATATATATTTTATCTATAGTTTAATTTCATAGAAAACATTACTTGCTTATTAGAATGGTACTTATTCTTACATGTTTTACGCTTAAATGTACTTTTTCAGTATTTATTTGTACATACATGCGTGTATGTATGTATGTGTGCGCGCGCGTATTTGGTGAAAGAGATTAAAAGATGTGTATTATAACTTTATCTATAATAATAATATATTATTCCTGTGATACTTTAAATCCGTGTCACTCTAAATAATTTTAAAATTTTATTTTATCATTTAGATATACATATA